TAATAAAGGTTATGATGACTTGGGAGCCCTGGTTTTCTTTGATAGTGGAACAGCTTATTTTGGCTAGACTTGATCTTAATATAATGGAATAAAAAGTTGACTAATACTATCTGCTTACTTTATAAAGTGTTTAAGTCTGGGTTAAGGCGAGGAAGTTCAAATCAAGTCTTAAACTGCAAACTAGACTTGTGATCATTTATAACACTATACACATCACAGCCCAGTTGTAGCAACTCACTTGGCATGATGTGTGACTTTTAAAAAATAATAATTTATTTTAATTATTCTCAGGTGTACAACGCAGTGCAATCATTATACCTTTTAACCCTCAAAGTGACAACCCCTCTCCCACAATCTGCCGCCCCACTCCCCCTCCCCCCAATATCATACATATCTATTACAATTCCATTGACTCCACTCGAACACTATACTCGACATCCCATGACTATATATAGTCACTTATAGTTGACAGTTGGAGAAAGACAAATACCATATGATCTCATTTATATGTGGAATCTAAAAACTGAATGAATGAGCAAAGTAAACAGAAATAGTCTCAGAGATATAGAGGAACAACTGCTGGTTGTTAGTTGGGAGGGGATGGAGATGAGGGAGAAGGGGAAGGGATTAGACAGCATAAATAGGTAACTACAATATTGCCACAGGGACATGAAAGATAGTTTGGGGAATATAATTAATAATGTTGCAAATATTTTGTAGGCTGTGTGACTTCTTTTTGTCAATTATAGGGTTATTTTAACTCCAGCTGTAATTTCAATATCAAAAGCTGTCAAAAGGTTAGAGTTATTTTCTCCACCTGATAAATTTTAAAGAAATAATATCACACTTGCTAGAATATGGTTTCTTATATGTTCTAGAAGTTACAGGCCAGGTATTTAAGAACACAACATCTAACAAAAACCACATGCAATCAAAGATAATTAAGCAGAAATGACTTACCAGGTCTCGTACAATCGGTAAAGTTTTTTTCCTGCGGAGATCTGGCATACTATCAATACCATAAAGACCCCGCCCAGCCCTGAAAGAGGAAAAAAAAGAATGATTTCCGTAAGTAACTGACTTCCTAGAAGAAAAATTCCACTATTCATTGTGAAAAGGCTGAATGCACAGCATGGTTTTCAACCGGTTCACAAAGCAGCAAGGATCCAAGACTCTCGGACCTTGCCAGTGCGAAGGAGAGAGTCCATCTACCACACATAGTGATCATTGTCTTCTTGGATAGTTCCACGCACTGAAACTTAAAATATACATGGCCTGGTTTGGCACACTGTTTACTGTCAGTGTCGCAAAAAGGATAATCAAAATTGTTAAGTATATGAGACTTTGTACCAAATACTTTGGTATAAGATTGGTCTACCTGCAAAATTACTTTTATTATAAAAATATCATTTTGTGTGTGTGTGTGTCGTATCTTCACAGATTAAACTCCAAAGTGGCATCTTAAGGATCCATAGGCACATTTAAAATATTAGTGATTACCCTAATAAGAGAATTTGCACTTATCTGAATTTATCCACAGAAAAATGCACAAGATTAAAATAATTTGTTGTACAAGGACGTCCACTGCAACATTTTTTTGTAATAGCAACAAAAGCTAGATAACCTAAATATTCAGTAATGATATATTGAT